GCTCTTACTGCCTATTACAGGGGAAACCAGCTGATTCCTAATCTATCTAAAACACAGACATGTGCTTTTCACCTTAAGAACAGACATCCTGAGCTCTGAGGATTACCTGGGAATGAATACCACTGGAGCATTGCAGTGCACCCAAATACCTGGGAGTCACTCTGGACCGTGCTCTGACCTACAAGAAGCACTGCCTGAATATCAAGCAAAAAGTGGGCACTAGAAACAATATCATACGTAAGCTGACTGGCACAACCTGGGGATCACAACCAGACACAGTGAAGACATCTGCCCTTGTGCTATGCTACTCTGTTGCTGAGTATGCATACCCAGTGTGGAACACATCTCACCACGCTAAAACAGTGGATGTGGCTCTTAATGAGACATGCAGCATTATCACGGGGTTTCTGCGCCCTACACCACTGGAGAAATTACACTGTTTAGCCGGTGTTTCACCACCTTACATCCACCGGGAAGTAGCAACCAATAATGAAAGGACCAAGGCAGTGACATCTCCAGCTCATCCCCTGTTTGGGTATCAGCCAGCACGCCAACGACTTAAATCAAGAAATAGTTTTCTAAGATCTACAGAGACACTCGCTGGAACAGCAAGCGAGAGTCCAAAAGTGGCAGGCTCAAACCCAGAACCTCAATCAATGGCTGATACCAAATGAGAGACTCCCTCTTGGACACACAGAAAACTGGGCGACTTGGAAGGTGCTGAACAGACTGCGCTCTGGCACCAAGAGATGCAGAGCCAACCAAAAGAAATGGGGCTACAAAGTGGAATCCACGATATGAGAGTGTGGAGAAGAGCAAACCACTGACCACCTGCTGCAATGCAACCTGAGCCCTGCTACATGCACAATGGAGGACCTTCTTTCAGCAACACCAGAGGCACTCCAAGTGACCAGCTATTGGTCAAAGGACATTTAATCAACTACCAAGGTTGCAAACGTAGTGTTTTGTTTGTTTGTTAAAAAATGCAACTGTTTGGTTTGCTCCTGACACGATAAATAAAATTGACGTAGCTATAGATTACAGGAGATTAAGGGAACATTTGAAGGTCAACAGGCTTCCTATTCCTGGTGTAAACATTACTGATGTTTTGACTCAACAAAAGGGACGTATCAAATATCACAAAGGCAAGACACAATATCACAAGACTGAGGGCCCTTTTACACAGCCACAGAACCCAAAATATCAAGGCAGAATAACCCACAATATCTGCTTTGAACTGGAATACCTGAGTCCACACTGCCATATATCCCAGTTCAAAGCAGATTATGTGGGATTTTATTCAGCTGTGTGGAAGAAGCCTGAAAGATAATTATTATTTCAGGTTCTGGTTTTTTTGTTTTGTTTTTTTTTTGTCATGTCAGGGGCAACTTGGGAAACTGCAAGTCGCTTCTGGTGTGAGAGAATTGGCCGTCTGCAAGGACGTTGCCCAGGGGACGCCCGGATGATTTGATGTTTTTATCATCCTTGTGGGAGGCTTCTCTCATGTCCCCGCAAGAGGAGCTGGAGCTGATAGAGGGAGCTCATCCGCCTCTCCCTGGATTCGAACGTGCAACCTGTCGGTCTTCAGTCCTGCCGGCACAGGGGTTTAACCCACTGCGCCACTGGGGGCTCCGAAGTCGCCCTGTGAGAAATTAGGACAGATCAATACTGCCCAATAGACAAATGGCACCCTTCCTATCATGACCCTAAGGGACTGAGTATTTTCCTATTATCTGCTTTGAACTGGGTTATCTAAGTCCACACTGCCATATAATCCAATTTAATGTGGATTTTATATAGTTTTGTGGAAGGGGCGTAAGTCCCTTCTCTGCAACTCTAGGAAGCAGAAGTGACCAGAGTGAGGGCTGGTGTGTGTGGAGGGGGCTTCACAAGAGGGACCCTTGACAAATGTTTTGACCTCTACTTGTGGCTTATCTTGCATTCCTAATTAACAGGAGGTTTTTTGTGGGAATAAAGATGGGTTAGCGTAAGGAATATTTTATTTTCCATCTGGCAGAATAATTCAGGAAAACCTATTTATCTAGAGATTACCTATGAACAGTGGAAGTTTTGGCAAATAACATGTTTTTCCTAGAGAAACCAATCTGGAGGTTTAAAAACAGAAAACTGGCAGGCTGAGGACTAACATGAAGTGCTGTACAAAGGTTTTAGAGGGTTATCTCAAAATAAGTAACCTTATTCTAGTAAGCAGGAGTGGGAGGAATGTGACAGAACAACATATGGCTCAAACACAGAAGATACCAGATTCAATCTTTGGCAACTCCATTGAAAAGGATCTCAGCAAAACTGAAGACAACTCTTCCTCCACTAGAGTCCTTGAAAAGATGTTGCCAAGCATAGTCAGACTTAATTTAGTTAAATGGGAGAAAAACAACAGCCCATAATTTATAAGGTTTGCGGTTCCGGTCCAGCTTATTTGTCCGAATGTATCTCCCTCTCCGTCCCGCCTCGGAGTCTAAGATCATCCGGGGGGGGGGGGGGCTGCTCTCAATCCCACCACTCTCACAGGTGTGAGTGGTGGGGACAAGAGACAGGGTCTTCTCACTGGTGGCCCCCTATCTGTGGAACACACTCCCCAGTGAAATTAGGTGTGCTCCATCTCTCCTTTCCTTTAGGAAAAACCTCAAATCATGGTTTTGGGACCAGGCATTTGGGTAGCAGCCTTAACAGTAATTGTAATGATTCATGAGAACCAAGGCTTTGGACTGGGTCTCTGGATGCTGAATTGGACTTGGGATGTGATTATATTGTTGTTGGGTTGTTGTAGGTTTTTTCGGGTTGTATGGCCATGGTCTAGAGGCATTCTCTCCTGGACTGGAACAACAACAACATTTATTAGCATACACTAACAAAATCATAGCACAGACATGCATAACAAAAAAGAAGTCACAGATATAAAAAATTGAAACAAATCTGGCTACCAGTATTAGAAAACTCTAAAATTGCAACAGCACAACAACAGAGAGGAAGCAGGCAGGGACATCTAATTACTTCTCAACAAAAGTTTGCTCCAGGCACAGTCAGCCCATTGTATGCTAATCAAGGTGGTCAGTTGAAACATTCACACCTAGCTCCAGCAGACAAGAGTCCTTTGTCCCACCCTGGTCATTCCACAGATATATAAACCCTTTTTCCTATTTCCAACAGACCTCACTATCTCTGAGGATGCTTGCCATAGATGCAGGCGAAACGTCAGGAGAGAATGCCTCTAGAACATGGCCATATAACCCGAAAAAACCTACAACAACCCAGTGATTCCAGCCCTGAAAGCCTTCGACAAATCTCTCCATTCTTTCAGGTTACAGCCTGTGTTGGATGGGGTCACACTCCCCCTGAAGATGCAGGTTCGCAGTCTGGGTGTGATCCTGGACTCATCGCTGAGCTTGGAACCTCAGGTCTCGGCGGTGACCAGGGGAGCATTCGCACAGTTAAAGCTTGTGTGCCAGCTGCGCTCATACCTTTGGAAGTCTGACTTGGCCATGGTAGTCCATGCACTTGTTACATCCTGTATAGACTACTGCAATGCTCTCTACGTGAGGTTGCCTTTGAAGACTGTCCGGAAGCTTCAACTGGTCCAACGGACGGCAGCCAGGTTGCTAACTGGAGCGGCGCTCAGGGAGCATACAACTCCTCTGTTGCGCCACCTCCACTGGCTGCCAGTCTGCTACTATTTACTACTAATTCAAAGTGCTGGCTTTAGTCTATAAAGCCCTAAATGGTTCTGGCCCAACTTACCTGTCTGAATGAATCTCCCCTTATGAACCTTCAAGGACTTTAAGATCATTTGGAGAGGCCCTGTTCTTGGTCCCGCCATAATCACAAGCACCGCTGACGGGGACGACAGACAGGACCTTCTCAGTGGTGGCCCCTCGGCTATGGAACGCCCTTCCTAGGGAGATCAGATCGGCTTCTTCGCTCCTAGCATTTCGGAAGAAACTTAACACATGGCTATTCGAGTCGCGGACATAAGAACGGAATAACTACATGATGGGACTGAGTATTTATTGACTTATGTTTTATTACAGTGTTATGATTTTAGTGATGTTGATGTTTTATATTGTAATTGTGTTCTTAGTGGCATTGAATTTTGCCTTGTAAACTGCCTCGAGTTGCCAGAAGGCTGAGAGGGGCGGTATACAAATATAGTAAACAAACAAATAAATAAATAAATTGATATTTTATAACTTAATGTTTTATCTAATGTTTAATGTGTGTTATATTGTTTTGCTTGTATGTGCCGGCATCAAATTGTTGCCAGTTGTAAGCCGCCTTGAGTTGAGAAGAACAGGGTACAAATGTTTGAAATAAATAAATACTGTATATACTCGAGTATAAGCCTAGTTTTTCAGTCCTTTTTTTAGGCTGAAAAAGTCTTCCCTGGCTTATACTCGAGTCAATGTTATTTATTATTTTACTTTGTTGTTGTTATTATTATTACATTTATTACTTTATTATTGTTATTGTTACATTTATTATTCTACTGTATTGTTATTATTACATTCCATTATTTTACTCTATTATTATTATTATTATTATTATTATTATTATTATTATTATTTTACTCTATTTATTATTATTACATTGTACATATTTAAGAAGGTTAGAATAATGGTTTAATCAGAGTTGGACAGTCTTATCTTGAATTACAGTTTTATGTAAATATTCAAAAACATTTAACCTACTGATGCCTAAATTAATATAATTTTATTGGTATCTATTTTTATTTTGAAATTTACCAGTAGCTGCTGCATTTCCCACCCTCGGCTTATATTCGAGTCAATCCATTTTCCCAGTTTTTTGTGGTAAAATTAGGTGCCTCGGCTTATATTCGGGTCAGCTTATACTCGAGTATACACGGTATCTATCCACAGGTTATCCCTGCTTTGTGCATTTCCACTTTCCTCCTCCTCCCAGCCAGTTAATGTTTGCTGTCTAGAAGACACCGTAACAAACCCCATCCCCTCATAGCTGAATTTCACCTTGCAAACCCAGGACGCTGCTCATCACTACCACGTGTCCCTCCTTTCGTTTCTTCATGTCAGGGAAGACTTCCTTGACAAGACGTACCAAGCCAAAGAAGTTGGCATCAAAGAGGTGCTGCATTGAAGCCAGGCTTTGGCTTTCAACTGGACCAATCATGCCCAGTCCTGCATTGTTCACTGCAAAAGGAGATAGCAATAGGTTAGCAATGGTAAGCAAAAGAAAGTGAGTATTCCCAGTGTGGGTATACCCACAGAGAGAAAAAGAGAAGGAGACCCATCTTGTAACTCTCTCCCCACAAATACCATAGGCCTATTCACATTATGCGATTATACCATTATTACCCCACTTTAACAACCATGGTTCCATCATATGGAATTTGGGGACTGCCAACTGAGGGAAGGACACATACACAAATATATCTTTTATTGCTAAGATTGGGAAAGTTACCGTATATTCTGGCATATAAGACGATCCCCAACTTTTCCAGTTAAAATATAGCGTTTGGGATATACTCGCCGTATAAGACTACCCCTAATTTTCCTATTACTGTCTCTCCTTCTCTGCCTCTCAGATCTCGCACATGCGCACCTGCACCACTTCACTGCAGTCTTCAAGAGCGAGATCTGAGAGGCTGTTGCAACCCAGAGCAGGAAACTGGACCCTCAGACCACAATCCACCACACTTGACTTTAGGAAAAACAATCCTTTTTTATTGAAGAAAGATGAGTACAAAAATAGAGGAAATATGCAAGGTAAAAAGCCACAGTAAAAATCAGCAACAAGAAATGTCCATGAACAAGATCAAAAACCCACAGTAACACTGCTAAATCCTGGAACCTGTTAGCAATCCACTGACCGTACTTGAAGCAACTAGGAAGCCTCTTAGGAATAAGGCCACTGGAATCAGGAGACCTGCCAAGGATGATGCTTGAATCTGGAACTATGCCTGGTCTGAAGATGCATCCAGGCGCGAGGTTCTTAAGGCCAAGAAATCTGTTACGTGACATGCCTGCTCGCTTTGTTTGCATTTCTCTCAGTCTAGCTGACATTCGTAAACTTTGAGATTCTCCCTGCTCTGCCAAATCTGCCCTCTCATATCCTCATTAGAGAGACCAGGTGTCAGATTCTCTGGAGAGCTAAGAGTGGGAGTTTCACTACACAAACCCTCATCTTCTACATTGCCCTCAGAATCAACATCTTCATTGGCATCAGGAAATACAATCAGAGAATCAGGTTCAGGTTCACACACAGGCTGAACCCTAACAGAGGCAGAGGAGGAGGTACGGTAAGAGGATACAATGGCAGGCCAGACAGGTAAAAGATTTGTGTTTTTCTGGGCCCAGAGCCACTCTATCTCTTTTTTCCATACCCTGGGCGCCCTGGACGCCTGCAGCTTGCTCCACCCTTCACTTACACCTTCCCTGTGGGGCGCCCCTTCACCTCCCCATTGGGACCGCATTAAGTTTACGAATCCTGATGAATGGATTTTCTTCTACCGTACTTGTACAGTGTCGCCCTTAATGCTTTCATACAGTCGCTGCATATGGACGGAACGTGGCCACTGCCATTTTTTAGCTCCCCCCACAATATGCAGCAACCACAGATTCTCCAATCCGGATTGGAAGTTTCAGCACCCACTCTATGGGACAACCCCCAGTGTATAAGACTACCCCCACATATAAGACGACTCCCATGCATAAGGCTATTCCCGCGTATAAAACAACTCCCGCGTATGAGACAACCCCTGACTTTGAGAAGATTTTCTTAGATTAAAAAGTAGTCTTATATGCCAGAATATACGGTACTTTAAAATCCAGAATCCTCCACAAGCCCCTGTCAGCTATGGGAAGAATCTTTGGAGCTGTAATTAAAAAAAACTTGTCTAAGTTCTCTTCACACATGGGCTTTTATGTGATAAAAGAAGCTGCCTGGATTGCCTCAGACAGTCAAGCTGCTAAAAAGATTAGTCATCTCTTAGCATTTCCGTTGCCTGGATATGTCCAAATGGCTCAATGGAGAGCTAGAAAATGAGACATGGATGTAAAATGGTGTAAAGGTTGGTTGGAGCGATCACAGCTCAGGCTGAGGCATACAGATGAGAAATCAGATTGGAGACAAAATGTGTCAGTCTGGGCAGCGTTCTGAGACAAAATTTTGCCACCACATGCCCGAGACTGCACTGCCACCCAAAATACAATATTTTGACATTCTTTCAAAACTGGAAGTGATTTCTCATTTGGGAAACAACAGCAACCAATAATACCAGACACGTGTACACACAAAATAATGAAGCACTTCAGATCTTGCGGAGTTGCAACACCCAGCTTTCCTCACCATTGCCCAGACTACCAAGGGTTGTAAGGGCTTGCAAGTCCAATAACATCAGAATAACTAAATGTTTCTGTTCTTGCACTAATGCAAGCTCCACCCTGACTCCTTTTGGCATAGAACTGCTCATGGAGGCAATCATAATTTGTGATAATCTCTTTAAAGGGGACCAATTTTATTTCTGACAGAAGGAAATCTGGGTAGGCTCTTGGGCCACCTAACCAAAAAGACTTGGGGCAGAAAGACAGGTCACATGATTTCTATCACTTATGTATGCCTGAAGTAACCCAGGAAAGAAGAAATTGTTCTCCAGTCCAAGAGACACTTGGATTCCCATCAAACTCATCAGAGACAGCCAAGCTGGACCAAAGAGGGGACTGAGTAGGGCAGGAGCAGGAGTAGTCATTACACAGGCACCCTTCATTTATTCTACTGTGGGCTCTCTTTTAACCTCATTCTCTCTCTCTGTCATATGTTCTGCAGTTAATGGTGCTTGGTGATGGAAGGGTTAATGTAAGTATTCTAAAGGGTTTAGTAATCTGTAAATAAGACTTCATGGGTGAAAGCAATTAAGGGTGGAGCTATGCAAGAGATAGGTTGCAGCTGGGTGTTTGTGGATATAAGGAGCGAGCCTTGGAAATGATCTTTGGGAGAAAAATATTGTCATATTTTGGTGGTGGATGCTGCTCGTTTTCCCCCCAGGTCTGTTGGATTTTTGGTATCCTGACCTGTCTCCTGTAATCTTGGAACCTGGAACCTGGAACCTTTGGACTTGCTTTTGACTATGGTATAGACCAGGGGTCCTCAAACTTTTTAAACAGAGGGCCAGTCACAGTCCTTCAAACTGATGGAGGGCCGGATTATAATTTGAAAAAAAAGAATGAATTCCTATGCACACTGCACATATCTTATTTGTAGTGCAAAAAACACTTAAAATACAATAATTAAAATGAAGAACAATTTTAACAAATATAAACTTATTAGTATTTCAATGGGAAGTGTGGGCCTGCTTTTGGCTGATGAGATAGGATTGTTGTTGTTGTTGTTGTGTGCTTTCAAGTCATTTCAGACTTAGGTTGACCCTGAGCAAGGGCCGGGTAAATGACCTTGGAGGGCCGTATCTGGCCCTCGGGCCTTGGCTTTTGACTACGGTATAGACTCTTGATCCCTGGACTTTGCTAATTGAACTCTTGGCATTTGACCACTGGACTGGACCTTTGACTACAGTGAAGCATTTGCTATCAGTTTTTGTTTTATATTCTGTGGCTAAGTGCTATCTTTATGTTTTATATTTTGGTCTATTAAAACTGGGAGTTTGGTTCACCTCTACCTAAATGAGGCAGAGCCCCGGCAATGTGACACACCCTCTCTCTCTCTCTCTCTCTCTCTCTCTCTCTCTCTCACACACACACACACACACACACACACACACACTTTTTATCTTGATGACAATCACTTGACAGGAAAGCGTTACCTCATCTCATCCTTCCCTCTTCTTGGCAATCATGGTTATTTTGGTCTATTAAAACAGCCAGCAAGTAAGTAAGTGCTGTTTTAATTAAACTGTTTGATAAAACTGGAAGTTTGGTTCATCTCTACCTAAATGAGGCAGAGCCCTGGCAACGTGACTCTCTCTCTCTCTCTCTCTCTCTCACACACACACACACACACACACTCATTTACACACAACCTAAAGATTAACATATCCTTCTGCAATTGCCAGCAGCCTCACACTGATCTTGATGACAATCACTTGACAGGAAAGCGTTACCTCATCTCATCCTTCCCTCTTCTTGGCAATCATGGTTATTTTGGTCTATTAAAACAGCCAGCAAGTAAGTGCTGTTTTAATTAAACTGTTTGATAAAACTGGGAGTTTGGTTCATCTCTACCTAAATGAGGCAGAGCCCTGGCAACGTGACACACACACTCTCTCTCTCTCTCACACACACACACACACTCATTTACACACAACCTAAAGATTAACATATCCTTCTGCAATTGCCAGCAGCCTCACACTGATCTTGATGACAATCACTTGACAGGAAAGCGTTACCTCATCTCATCCTTCCCTCTTCTTGGCAATCATGGTTATAGTCTCTTATCAACTCTATCCCATAATTCAAAATAAAATAGCTGTTTCTCTGCTGCTAAAGTGTAGGCGAACCATGGAAGAGAAAAGTGGATTGAGCATCCTGGGATTGGCAGACCAGATAACTGCCAAATATCACATGTGCTCCATGGAGTGCCCCATTTGTGATGCAGCTGAACTTTGGTATGATCAAAGCCAGATTATCTTACAGTAAGAGTGGCTTCTCTTGGAATTTTAGCTACCAGGAGAAACGTTTCATACCAAGAACATCCACTCTGCGGTGAGGGATGCTGTCCACGCAGCGCCGAATTGACTCCTCGCTGGTCACGTCTAACTCCTTGATCTCCAGAGTGTTCTCCAGTACAGGCCCTGCTTGCATCTCTAGAGCTTGCCTCTTTGCCAAATTCCTCATGGTAGCAATAACTAAGGAGGGAACAAATTGTATTAGAAGATATGTGGTGCCAACCTATTCAAGCTAGGAAGATTGTCAGGATCACTTTAGAAGCCAAGCTGTTTAAACTGCAACATGATTAAACTTTAGACGCCAAGATGATTATTTACTTATTTACTTATTTACAACATTTATATGCCGCCCTTCTCACCCTGAAGGGGACTCAGAGCAGCTTACAAGATATATATACATACAATATACTATATTATTAGCATAGTAAAATATCAGTATTAAATATTACTATATTGTATTATACTATTATATTGTAATATTATTAGTAACTAGCTGTCCCCTGCCATGCATTGCTGTGGCCCAGTCTGTGTATATGTGTTTTGTGTGTGTATATATGTGTTTATGTCTGTGTATATATTTGTGTATATTTGTGTATATGTGCTCTGAGTCCCCTTCGGGGTGGGAAGGGCGGAATATAAATGTTTTATTTTTTTTAATTTATTTGACTTGTATACCGCTACTCCCAATTTGGCTTGGAGCGGTTTACATAAGTAGATTAAAATAACACAATTAGCTTTAAAATAACAGTAAGAAGAGAGAAACAGACATCGCCCCGAGTTATTCACCCGTCGAAAGCTTGTCGGAAGAGAAAGGTTTTAAATAAATAAATAAATGTGTGTTTGTGTGTGTGTGTGTGTGTGTATATATGTGTGTGTGTGTGTGTATTTATGTGTGTTTAAGTATGTATATTTGTGTATTTGTGTTTATATGTGTATATGTATATTGTGTATATGTGTGTGCTTGGGCATGTGCATATGTGTGTGTACATATATATGTGTGTATGTATGTGTATATATATATGCATGTAGGTGTATATTTCTGTCTGTGTTTATGTGTATATTTGTGTGTGCTTGTGTATATATATGTGTGTATGTATGTGTGCATGTGTATATATATAGTTCTGTGTTTATATGTGTATATGTATAATGTGTATATGTGTGTGCTTGTGTATATGCATGTGTGTCTCATTTGTTTCTTATTTGTTTCAAAACACTATACACCCGCTTTTATATCCTTCTGTTTTAGATTAGAAAATATTTTTTTCTTTTTTCTGCTCTTTTTTATTTTTAACATCAAAGAAACATTTTTTCTATTAGATAACAAGGGAAGAAGATGTAGATGCAAGGTGTTAAAAATGCCCATTCTAGATCCACTCTTGTACCCTTCCCCATTTCTCATATATTTTGCAATCAAAATTATATGGAAAAAAATTGCCTATTGAGGTTCAAAGTCCCATTAGAGAGCTGCTAATGCTACACTAGTCCCAGAACTTCCCTCACTGCTTTTATCCCTAAGGGTCAAGGAAGACTAAAAGGAGAAATAGACTCAAGAATGAGAAATCAAATCACTTCACTCTGCCTCCTTCAAGAAGCTGAGTCCCTGCCCTTCTCGGTCTCCAGGTAACTCCTTACCTCGAAATCGCTTCAGCTCATCCCTGGCCAAACGCACTGCCAGGGCCAGTCCAATGCCTGAAGAGCAGCCGGTCACCAGCACATTCCGAACAGCCATATTAGGGCCTACAAATGGGATAAGAGAAGAATAAGAGGAAATATTCTGGGGGGAAAAGAAAACTCACAATGAAAGGGCCACATCCACAGAGATCCCAAGTGTCTAGATCTAAGGAAGTCATGCTCCCCATGCTCTAGTCTGCCTTTGGTTAGACCACACCTGGAATATTGTGTCCAATTCTGGGCACCACAATTCAAGAGCGACATTGACAAGCTGGAATGTGTCCAGAGGAGGGCGACTAAAATGATCAAGGGTCTGGAGAACAAGCCCTATGAGGAGCGGCTTAAGGAGCTGGGCATGTTTAGCCTGAAGAAGAGAAGGCTGAGAGGAGATATGATAGCCATGTATAAATATGTGAGAGGAAGCCACAGGGAGGAGTGAGCAAGCTTGTTTTCTGCTTCCTTGGAGACTAGGAGACGGAACAATGGCTTCAAACTACAAGAAAGGAGATTCCATCTGAACATGAGGAAGAACTTCCTGACTGTGAGAGCCTTCAGCAGTGGAACTCTCTGCCCTGGAGTGTGGTGGAGGCTCCTTCTTTGGAAGCTTTTAAACAGAGGCTGGATGGCCATCTGTCGGGGATGCTTTGGCATCATAGAATCATAGAATCAAAGAGTTGGAAGAGACCTCATGGGCCATCCAGTCCAACCCCCTGCCAAGAAGCAGGAATATTGCATTCAAAGCACCCCTGACAGATGGCCATCCAGCCTCTGTTTAAAAGCTTCCAAAGAAGGAGCCTCCACCACACTCAGGGGCAGAGAGTTCCACTGCTGAACGGCTCTCACAGTCAGGAAGTTCTTCCTCATGTTCAGATGGAATCTCCTCTCTTGTAGTTTGAAGCCATTGTTCCATTGCGTCCTAGTCTCCAGGAAGCAGAAAACAAGCTTGCTCCCTCCTCCTTGTGGCTTCCTCTCACATATTTATACATGGCTATCATATCTCCTCTCAGCCTTCTCTTCTTCAGGCTAAACATGCCCAGCTCCTTTAGCCGCTCCTCATAGGGCTTGTTCTCCAGACCTTTAATCATTTTAGTCGCTCTCCTCTGGACACATTCCAGCTTGTCAATATCTCTCTTGAATTGTGGTGCCCAGATTGGACACAATATTCCAGTTGAATGCAATATTCCTGCTTCTTGGCAGGGGGTTGGACTGAATGGCCCATGAGGTCTCTTCCAACTCTTTCATTCTATGATTCTATGAACACCGCGCAGGCACACTGGAACAACCATGTCTTCAAGCTCCTCCTAAAGATTGCCAGAGTTGGGGCATGTCTGATGTCCTTAGGAAGTGAGTTCCAGAGGCCATCACCGAGAAGGCCCTCTCTCTCGTCCCCACCAATCGCGCTTGCGATGCAGGTGGAAGCGCGAGTAGGGCCTCTCCAGATGATCGAAGAGATTGTGTGGGTTCATACACAGAAATGCGGTCAAAGTGCTATGGGATTCACAGGTAGGCAGGTCCCAAACCGTTCAGAACTTTGTAGGTAGGAACCTGCACCTTGATTTGAGTCCGGAAAATGAATGGCAGCCAGTGGAGCTCCTTAAAGAGGAGGGTTGGCCGCTCCCTGTAAGGAGCACCGGTTAACAACAGAAAAAGTGTGCCTGTCCCTCGTCCCCACCAAATGCGCCTGCAATGCGGGTGGGATCGCGAGCAGAGGCTCTCCGGATGAATGAAGAGAGCGTGTGGGTTCATAAACGGAGATGCAGTCACGCAGGTAGGCAGGTCCCTGTTTTTACTTTAATTCTTGTCTAGCAACACTCCACACTTGTCTGGGAAACGTCTGATCCTCTCATTCCTGCAGAGCCATATGCAGAGGATGAGTAAGCTGTGGAGACTGAAAGGGCAGAGCCATAAATTATATTCCCTTGAGCTCACACATACACAAACACTGCCTTTCCCAATCCAAGCAGCAATGGTGTCTATTGATACTTGAAAACCACTGTGCTGCCTTATCTGCTCTGTCATGCCATACGTTCATCACAGGATATCTTGGAGACTTGTATCAAGAAGCTTTAGCCAATCACAGCTCCATGCTAAAGGTGTTTGCACATTACACACAATGAAAAAAAGAAATGGCGAGAAAGGGACACTTATTTTGCATGTAATGGGGCAGGGACAACAACCCCACAGAACATGCAAAATTAAAACATATTTCTCTCACAGTCACAGGTGCAGCTTAGCAGCTGATCTGTGGACAGGACACAAGAAATCTGATTTTGCTTTTACAATCTTAGTACTTCTGCTCTCCAAAGTCTTCATGAGGTTACCTCTTTATTTATTCCTCTGTGTGCCCCCCTCAAGACTGACTTCTTGGTTTCACCTTTCCGTTTCCATCTGCAACCAAAACAAAACCAAGATGTGTAACTGCATTTGTTCATGGACTGATATAAGACATTTATACCCTCATTTCCAGTTTACATAGAACATGCATATATCTGTCCCTTGTACAGGGTGAGGTAGCATAACTTACTTTTTTCAAAACTTAATAAAACCCATTGCATGAATCAGAATTTTTTATTTTTTTTATAACGTAGGTGCATACCTAAAGTTTAATTTTACGTAGTTTTGAAGATCAAATTAGGTAGGTGACGTTCCCCATTCTCCATACACTGCATGGCCACACACACTCACATACACAAGCGAGTGGAGTGGCGGTGGAGGCTTGCCGCATGCAGCTCCTTCTCTTTCCCTCCTATGTCAGGAGAGCAGTCTCCTCCTCCTTTCCCTGTTGGAAAGTGCCAGCAGCAGCAACGGAGTGCTCCACGCAAGGAAGAAGGGGAGGAGGAGGAGGAGGGGGGGAGGAGGAAGGTCCACGGTGCTTGAATGAAGGACCTTCCTTTTCTCCCTCCCTTCCCTTCTTTCCTCCCTTTCCTTTCTTTCCTTTTCTTCTTTCTTCTCCTTCCTTTCCTTCTTTCCCTCCTTCCCTTCCTTCCTGTCCCTCCTTCCTTTTTCCTTTCCTTTTTTTCCTCCCTCCCTCCTTTCCTCCTTCTTTCCCTTTCTTCATTTCCTTCCCCTTCATTTCCTTCCCTTCCTCCTTTCTTCACCCCCTCCTTCCTTTCCCTCCCTCCTGCCTTCCTTCCTTCTCCTCTCTCCCTGTCCCTCCTTCTTTCTTTTCCTTCCTTCCCTTCTTTCCCTCCCTCCCTTCCTTTTTCCTTCCTTCATGTCCCTCCTTCCTTCCTTCTTCCTTTCCTTCTTTCTATGTAAGATATAAATACAATATTAAATGGAAGGGACAGTCAAGAAGTAACGAGAGAAGGAGGGAAAGAGGGAAGGAAGGAAGGAGAGAAGGAGGAAGGAAAGAAAGAAAGAGAAGCAAGGAAGGAGAGAAGGAAATAAAAAAGTGAAAGGAAAAAGAGAGGGAAGGAAGGAGAGAAGGAACGAAAGATAGGGAAGGAAGGAAGGATGTAACCAAAGAGCAAAGAAAGGGAGGAAAGAAACAGGTAGAGATGGAAGAAAGATGAGAGATAGGGAAAGAAAAAGAGGAAAGGAAGGAAAGAGGGAAGGGAGGAGAGAAAGAGGGAGGGAAGGTTGGCCACAGCAACGCGTGGCGGGTACAGCTAGTCAATAAATAAATAAATAAATAAATAAATAAATAAAAATACAGGTACACTAAGACTCCATGATGAAATCTGATACACACATCCAAAACACAATTCTATATATCAGGTTTGAATGCCAATCTTTGACATCTCAATGTACCATTTCTATAATGGTGAGATACCAATGGTTTTTAATATATTTTGCCTGACAAAGCTAGTGGAGAATTGGAAGTTTGCATGATGTGTTTTGTGTATTTTGGTTGAATACTGTAATAAAAATATTCTGGGTTTTTATTTTTTGGCCTTGGATTTTGTTTTATTTTATAGAACCCTAGAGGGCATGCATTTATTGGGGATCATTTAAAGAGCGCCACCATACCTGTTTAAATAATATTGTATGTAAAATGACCTTTAGGAAAATGACCACGTGTATAAATGTATATGAAACATCAATGAATGATATGTTTAGACAGGGATATCATCATGTACATATATGCAAATGCAGGCATTCCAAAATCCCTGTCCTGAACTCCAGATCCTTTGAATTTTTTTTTTGTCGTGTCAGGAGCAACTTTGAGAAACTGCAAGTCGCTTCTGGTGTGAGAGAATTGGCCGTCTGCAAGGATGTTGCCCAGGGGACGCCCGATAATTTGATGTTTTTATCATCCTTGTATGAAGCTTCTCTCATGTCCCCGCATGAGGAGCTGGAGTTGATAGAGGGAGCTCATCCGCCTCTCCCCGGATTTGAACCTGCGACCTGTCGGTCTTCAGTCCTGCCGGCACAGGGGTTTAACCCACTGCGCCACTGGGGGCGCCAATCTTTTGAATGAAATCCACTCACAAAGTAGTTTGGAAACAGATCCCTTTATTTCCAGATCCCCCAAAATCCAAAACACTTCTGTTCCCAATAATTACGGCTAAGGAATATTCATGGCCAAAACTGGGAGTGGAAATCTGCAAATACAGTCCCACTACTTCAGTGGTTCTCAACCTTCTGAATGCCGTGACCCCTTACCACAGTTCCTCATGTTGTGGTGACCCCCAACCATAACATTATTTTCCTTGCTACTTCATCACTGTGATTTTGTTACTGTTATGAATCGTAGTGTAAATATCTGATATGCAGGATGTATTTTTATTCACTGGACCAAATTTGGCACAAATAATAGGTGTGCCCAAGTTGGAATACTGGTGGGTTGGGGGGGGGGGGGGTTGATGTTGTCATTTGGGAGTTGTAGTTGCTCGGATGTATAGTAAACCTGCAATCAAAGAGCATTCTGAACTCCACCAATGACGGAAATGAACCAAACTTGGCACACAGAACTCCCATGACCAACAGAAAATACTGGAAGGGTTTGGTGGGCACTGACCTTGAGTTTGGGAGTTGTAATTCGCCTACATCCAGAGAGCACTGTGGACTCAAACAATGATGGATCTGGAGCAAACTTGGCACAAATACTCAATTTGCACAAATGTGAACACTGGTGGAGTTTGGGGGAAATAGACCTTAGCATTTGGGAGTTGTAGTTGCTGGGATGTATAGCAAACCTTCAATCAAAGAGCATTTTGAACTCCACCAATGATGGAAATGAACCAAACTTGGCACAAAGAACTCCCATGACCAACAGAAAATACTGGAAAGGTTTGGTGGGCACTGACCTTGAGTTTGGGAGTTGTAATTCGCCTACATCCAGAGAGCACTGTGGACTCAAACAATTATAGATCTGGAGCAAACTTGGAACAAATACTCAATTTGCACAAATGTGAACACTGGTGGAGTTTGGAGGAAATAGACCTTGGCATTTGGGAGTTGTAGTTGCTGGGATTTATAGTTCACCTACAATCAAAGAGCATTCTGAATCCCACCAATGATAGAATTGGGCCAAACTTCCTACACAGGACAAACAGAAAATACTGTGTGTTCTGATGGTCTATGGTGACCCCTCTGACTCCCCCTGGCAACCTTCCCAGGGGTCCCGACCCCCAGGTTGAGAAACACTGCACTACATAGAAACACAGCAGCCCTGAAAAACCCAACAAAGGAGTTGAAAATTCTGATGCCAGTAACAATCTTGCTTTCCATCACTCCTAAGTTGGGGAGGATCCAAAGCATTCCAGTTTGGGAGTCCAGATATGGTGGGTTTATAAAAAAAAATACAACTTTCAGAAACCTGCAGCCAGCCTGACTTTAAATAGTATCTTTGTTCTAGCTTCCTTTGTTGGCCTTCCACTCAACAGCTTGATTCCATCTCTGTTTACTAGTTTCTCCTTTTCTCCTTCAAAGTGGAAATTAGATTAGCTCCCTGTTGTTTTGAAGGGCTTTGAAGAGCTTCCGCCAGGCCATCATATAATCTACTGCTCTTCCTAAGATGGTCTTTTTTCTAATCCACACAGAACAGAAACAGCCAAGTTATAGCAATCACAGCTTTGGGATTTCCCTGGGACCCAACTAATTCTTTCCACTTTCAGTAAAAGCATGCTCAGCATGCTCTCCTAATGCATGCAATAATTTGATTCCTTCCTTAAGTACAGATTTTCAACTGGATCCATTAACACTGAGCTATTCTCCCATCCTGAGAGATGACTTCAGTAGGCTTGATTTTTGCAGATCTGATTAAAAATCTTCTCTCTAGGAATTTCTAGGTATGATTCTATGGTCAACTTCCTCTGGTCATGTTGGAGGACTAACGAGAGTTCTAGAGAGAATACCTCTCTAGGAATCCCTATGTCCTCCCATGCAATCTATATAAATAAAAATGTAATGTTCGTTTGTGGGATTAACAGAACTCAAAAATCACTGGACGAATTGACACCAAATTCGGACACAAGACACCTAACAACCCAACGTATGTCCTTCACTTAAAAAAACTGATTTTGACATTTGGGAGTTGTGGTTGCTGGGATTTATAGTTCACCTACAATCAAAGAGCATTCTGAACCCCACCAATGATGAAATTGAATGAAACTTGGCACACAAAACCTCCATGGCCAACAGAAAATACTGGAAGGGTTTGGTGGGCAGTGTCCTTTGGTTTTGGAGTTGTAGTTCACCTACATCCAGAGATCACTGTGGACTCAAACAATGATGGATCTGGACCAAACTCTACACAAATACTCAATATGCCCAAACGTGAACACTGGTGGAGTTTGGGGAAAATAGAATCTTGACAATTGGGAGTTGTAGTTGCTGGGATGTATAGCTCACCTACAATCATAGAGTATTCTGAACCCCATCAACGATAGAATTTGCCCAAACCTCCCACACAGAACCCCCGTGTGGGCCACAGCAACGTGTGGCAGGGGACGGCTAGTTCCAGATAAAGTTTTGCCAGATGATCTAAAGCAGGGGTCCTCAAACTTTTTAAACAGAGGGCCATGTCACAGTCCCTCAAACAGTTGGCGGGTCAGATTATAATTTGAAAACAAACATGAATGAATTCCTATGCACACTGCACATATCTTATTTATAGTACAAAAACATTTTTAAACAATACAATAATTAAAATTAAGAACAATTTTAACAAATATAAACTTATTAGTATTTCAATGGAAAGTGTGGGCCTCCTTTTGGCTGATGAGATAGGATTGTTGTTGTTATTGTGTGCTTTCAAGTTAGGTTGACCCTGAGTGAGGGCCGGGTAAATTGTTGTGAACCGCTGTGATTGTTGTGAACCGCTGTGATTGTTGGGAACCGCTGTGAATCGCCTTCGGGCTGAGAACAGCGGTATATAAGTAAGGTAAATAAATAAATAAATGACTTTTGAGGGCCACATCCGGCCCCCGGGCCTTAGTTTG